GTCCTTTTTTTTTTTTTTTTTGTCAGTGAGCTTGAGTTTTGTTTTGTTTTTTAATTTTGGCTAGTAGGCTATTCGTTTTTTGTGATATTGACACTTGTTACAAGAATTATGAAATTTCTATGGTATCAAAAATGTTTATATCATAAAGAACATATTTAAAGCAAAAATAACAATATTGTGATATAGATCGTTACTGTGAAGTAAAGTTACTCGTATCGTGATATAAGATTTTGGTCATATCGCCCACCCCTACCCAATCCTGTTTCTGATTCTCTTTAAAGCACACATCAGCTTTTCTTTCTCTTAGCTTACAGCCAGTATATGGAGCACAGCACCCTCCTCTGGACCCACGCAGACACCGTCCGTAAGTGCTGCTGCTAGCTGTCGACTGTCTGCCTGCAAATCAGCCATTTGTTTTCTCTTCATTCATGTTTTCTGCCTTTCAGTTGTGCTCTGAATCCATCTGAATATGTTTTGAGTGCAAGATTTGCATAAACCTTTTGCAACTTTTGATTTTTTTTTTTTTTATTTGTCTTGCATTATCCTTTCTAACTGTAACCAGTTCATATGTTATAGAGCGTGTGCAATATTGCCATTTTCAAAAACCTCTTTTTGTTTCCCTACAGATTAAAAGATGCTCCAAAGGCCAGCAGTGTGTGTACCAAATCCAAAAAACCTTCCACTTTCCACGAATTTGCTCGGAGCACCAATGATGCATGGGACATTGATGATGAAGAGGATGACGGTATGTTTAGTCTTAAACAGCTCTCATCTTCACCTGTCCAATCACGATCCATGCCTCAAACACCCTGCCTCAAAATCATCAAAACCCCAGAAGACACAGAGCCACTGCCCCCTACACTGGACCGGCAGGAACCAATCAGCACAAACCCCAATCAAGATCAACTGGATATAGAAAGCGGTCCAGCCAATGGCAGGGTGGTAAAGTCCAGTAGCGACGCCCAGCTGAATGTTAATGCAGGTATGCTGGTAGCTGTTGTTTTTAAGCTTGTAAGAAGATATAAAGTCATCAATCAGATGTGGGTTTTTTCGACCTACCTTTAATCTAAAAAGTCCCATCATTACCCAATTACTGTTTGCTATATGTCTGGTATGGTTGTATAAATGTCCTTTAACCTTTAAAGAAAGCTAACTTGGGTTTATTATCCTCATCATAATTGAAAATTTGTGTTGCTCATGTTTCATGAATGAGACCATGGGAAGTGTCATTCTTGTCAACAAAAGTATATAAATAAATATAAATATAAATATATAAATAAATATAAACACACTACCGTTCAAAAGTTTGGGATCAGTAAGATTTTAAATATTTTTTATTGAAGTTTCTTGTGCTCATAAAGGCTGTATTTATTTGATCAAAAATACAGAAAAAACCCTGTTATTTTGTGAAATATTATTGCAATTTAAAATAACAGTTTCTATTTTAATATACTTTAAAATATAATTTATTCCTGTGATCAAAGCTGAATTTTCAACATCATTACTCCAGTCTTCAGTGTCACATGATCCTTCAGAAATCATTCTAATATGCTGATTAATTATCAATGTTGGAAACATTTGTGCTGCTTCAGGTTTTTTGGAGCCTGTGATACTTTTTTCAGGATTCTTTTATGAATATATATTTAAAAAAAAACAGCACTTATTCAAAATGGAAATCTTTTGTTACAATATACACTAAAGTTCAAAAGTTTGGAGTCAGTAAATTTTTTCTTTCTTTTTTGAAAGTAATCAAAATACTTTTATTCAGCAAGTATGTGTTAAGTTGATAAAAAGTGATAGTAAAGACTCATATTTTTAGAAAAGATTTTAATTTGAAATGGATGCTGTTCTTTCACTTTTTATTAATAAAAGAATCCAAAAAAAAAAAACAGTTTCCAGCACTGATAATAAATCAGCATATTAGAATGATTTCTGAAGGATCATGTGACACTGAAGACTGGAGTAATGATGCTGAAAATTCAGCTTTGATCACAGGAATAAATAAAGAATATTAAAACAGAAAACCAATATTAGAAATTGAAATAATCTCACAATATTGCAGTTTTTTTCTGTATTTTTGATCAAATAAATACAGCCTTGATGAGCACAAGAGACTAATATTTACTGAATTAAAGGATATTTTGTTAAAACAACCAAATGTAAAAAATCTGTTAAAAAAGGATGTATAATATATATCCATGCTAAATAATATTTATTTATTTATTTATTTAATATTACCTTAATTAAAAATATATTAACATATAATCATATATAATATGTTATTTGTAATATTTTTAAAGATTTGTATAAAATATATTTTAATATTAATGCTTAATATTTGTATTTTTTTGTCCTGTTTAGCTCGCAATACCCTGCAAAAACAGCAGTCACTTCCTGTGCGGCCCGTCATTCCGTTGGTTGCCCGCATTTCGGACCAAAATGCCTCTGGAGCTCCGCCCATGACAGTGAGAGAGAAGACTCGATTGGATAAATTCAAGCAGCTACTTGCCAGTCCCAACACAGACTTGGGTAAGCTTTAAATGAAACAATTAGAAATTTGTGCAAGCATTAAAAGAAAAACAAGGGATAAGGTCTGTTTTCAGCAGGATTATAAAAGTGGCCACTTGTGGGTTATTTGTGTAAGATATTAAAGCCCATCCATCAGGGACCATCTCAAAACAAAAAGCCGCAAAACCCTCACACATGTTCACACCTCATTCTCTCGCCTGCTTTTCCGCATCTAGCTGAATCTCTTTGCCAGGTGAGACAGTGTGGGATGGCAGAATGGATGAAAACCGTCCATGATGTTATCCTAGTCTTCCTGAGTTCACGCTGAGAGGCCCTTCTGTTCTCTCCACGTCCTCCAACCAATCGTCTCTTCGAGTGCACCTGCGAACTGGCGGAACAAAAACAAGTTCTGCGCATGCCTGCGCTCATTTGTGCCGCTGATGCTATAATGATGCTATCAAAGAGACTCCCTCTTCTTTGCTTTATAACTAAGTTTCAGCCTCCGCAGGCTCTGAGCTGTCTGAGCGACAGGCTGAAATCACGGGGGAATGAGAATCATCAGTCATTGGAGGGGAAAATAATGCGTATGCACTTCTTTCACAGCGCCTTATGAAAAATGTGCTTGTGATATAGTTGGAGGGGCTTCCCTGCACAGTACTCTGAGTTCATAATAGCTTCTGAGATCTTTCATCATTCTGCTATCATATGACGGTTGGCAGGTGTCCGATGCCATTAGTATTTTAGGAGCGCTTGGATATCGGTTTCGTGTTTGTTCTAACTCAAAAACGACCCAGGAGCGATCTCACCAGATGTTTCTCAGCAAGTCTTTAAGTTTTCATAGACGTTGTGAAAAGCGGTTTTTACATTCGCTGATCACAATGACCCAGAGGGCTTGACGGGAGTTTGCAAAAACAATCCTTAAAAAGTGGTTTAGACTTCAGCACCTGGACAGATCGATGATTTCTGGTCTAATGGCATCCATCTGTATTGTAATGTTTACTTCATAACAATGACAAAATAAGTAATTGAGAGCGGTGGAGTCGAAAAGCTCCATTCGATTAAAAACTAAAAGGAACAGACAGAGAGAAAGGTTAAAATTCACTGTGATTCATCTGGTTGTTATGACAACAATTATCTTTGCTCTTTATTGTAACTCAAGTACAATACAATATACTTTTATTTATTTTTTTAGTGGTTATTGCAAAGGCAGGAATCATAATTACCATCAGTCGCACTTTAGCATGTAACTCATCTTGATTTGTTTACTGATACTTTGTGTGTTAAGGAGACATCTGCTTTTGTAAGTGATTGGAGCCTTGGGGCTATTTTGGCTTGGTGCTGGTATGAAACCGCCTAGCAACCACACAGAATACCCTAGCAACTGCATAGAAACACATATCATAGTAAGTTGCAAGGACACATTTTCTGAAGAAATCGAATTGTAACATATAAAAAAGAAAAGAAAAAAAGACCATACTCTATTGCGGAATTGCTAATTGTTCTTGGGAAATTGTGTTTCTTTGTGACATTTTAATTGTCTGTTTTCATTTGTCCAAAGTATTTCAATTCAGTAGCTCCTAAATCTCAAAAGTTTTGTTGAATTAATTTATTTTTATTCAGAGACATAATAAGAAAATAAACTGCCAAAATCATTTTCTTAATCACTATTTGTGTCTTGTTTTCCAGTCAAACATATTTCAAACAAAATAATAAGTAACAATAAAGTAAAGGGCACTTACAGCATTTTGTTAAATTAATATATTTTTGTTCAGAGACATAATAAGGAAATAAACTGCCAAAATAATTTTCTTAATCAGTATTTGTTTCTTGTTTTCCAGTCAAACTTAAATACTTAAAGCAAAAGGATTCACTTGAGAAGCAAAACTGTGTAAGATATAAACCTAATTCATAATATATTATTAAACATATATATTATTGAACTCCTGCTTAATAATATGTCTTGAATTAAGTTTCTTTTTCTTACCCATTGGCAAATATTTTCTCTTGTTTTAAGCATAAATCTATCGTAATTTGAGATTTATAATTCAAACAAGAAACAGCCAGTGTGATAAGAAATGTAAACTTATTTCAGGATATTTTCTCTGAAAACAAATCTTGATATGCAATTTTCCTTTTTAAGTAAATGTATTTTTTTGTGAGGATGTTTAGATATTTTACTGGAAAACAAGACAAATAGGCTACTGATTAAGAAAATAATTTTTATGGTGCATTCGGAAAGAAACTGAATTGTGAAATAAGGAAAACCAAGCTCAAACTAGCATAGTTCACATGAGCCGTATGGAAAAACATGACAGCAGGCCACAACACATATGCTTTTTAAGCTGTTTGCCTAAATGTGCTCTCCAGACATCATGCTGACATCCGAAGCCATTGCTCCATCACCTGTGAATCGTCAACTTCCCAGCCATTACTTTAAAATCAATGTGCAGTTATGGCTCGCTGTCTTATTGGAGTTACCATAATTCAAGGTGGCATGGTTGTGAAAAAACTGAGTGTGTTTGCTAATTAAAAATAATTGTTTATTGATTATGTTGATTGAGCTATAAGTTAGTGTCACCAGTCCTGTGAAGGCAGACGACCGTTGATTTAAAGCATGATTTTCTATCACCGCATATGAACAAACTCTTAATGCATGTTTTAACTGCTGATTGGTCAATATATACTTTAATTCCAGCCTTCTGCTCCTGCAGCTTTATTTTTACATTGTAGTTTCACGTCCAAACTGCAGTATGATCTGTCATCAAAGCAGCTGTTCACCTCTGTAGCTATGAAACAACACAGCAGTTGTACTGCTGAAGTATTTGCCATTTTGGATTAACTTTGCACTGTGTTTTGTTCATCCAGAGGAGTTACGGAAGCATAGTTGGTCGGGAATCCCTCGTGAAGTTCGGCCAGTCACCTGGAGACTCTTATCGGTAAGTATTTACCACTACTGTTTATTTCATGTCCATTTTGGCATGCTATTCAAACAAACAGCAGTGAGATGACAAGAAAAGATGTGGAAGATAGGGAAGAAAAGGACTGAAATATGTTGTGAGATGTATTTGAGCTCACGTTGTTGTCGTGGACACATGCCCTAACCACTAGGCCTTGGTTTCAATGCCTTCTAATACAATAATTATTAATATATCTTTAATTGATCTGTTTTATTTAAGAAAATTAATTAATTGTGTTGGGTTTGTTAAAAATATTGAGCTACTTCTTGAAATTACTTGTTTGAAATGCAGCCAAATGGATATTCAATTGAATGAATAATACAAAAATGCCGTAATAAACAATAATTAATCAACGAAAAATCTCTTTTTTTTATTTACTGTAAGCCAGCATAACAAACATGCTAGCAGTTTAGTTCTGCATAGGGTGCACAGTCATTTTCTATGCTTTTCAGAGTATAAAACTTCCACGCCACTTTCAGTTTAATGTGCGTTATTGATTTGTTTTGCAATATTGGTTTTGCTGAGCACTTAATGTCAGCAGAATTGTGACTCATCATCCGAGGGGTTGAGCAGGTCGCTGTGTTGTGGCTGTATGTGTGCGGATGTTCGGAGAATGCTTTACAAGCCTCATTTGCGTTTCTGGCGCATGCTTACACAGTCAATAACACACACCTCTGGGCTAAGCTGTACAAGCAAATCCCCAACCCGACCCGACTCCTCCAAGCTTTTGCTGCTTCATGCATTGTTTGCTAGGGGGATTAAACGGAATAATTCCATATGTATAAAATTACCGAGGTAGATGCATGCTAAACGAATGCTAATGTGACAAAAAAACAAAACAAAACATTTTGTCTCGGCTTTTCGTATTCAAATTGTGATTGTAAAGAGCAACAGTTGCGTTTTGTTTTTGTTGGTTCACATCAGTTTGTGTTATGGCGCCAAATGTAAACGTTTCCAACTTCGATCCTTGATTTACAGCACACGAACCTCGCCAAGACCTTCTCGGAATCCCATTGGAAAGCCGTTTTAAGATCATTACGATTTTCAGCATGGAATTTAATAACCGTTATTAAAGTTTTGAAGGGCCGATGATGGGGCGAATCCAAACGAGCGGAGTTTGTGCACCTCTTATTCGCCCTGAAGCAACAGACGTGAGCTGCATCGAGTCGGATTCTGAATGTACGTTATCATTTATGTGTTCAAGCGCTCTGCAACTCTGTGTGTGCTCATTAAAACAAGAGTTGAGAAACAACGGGAGGGGAAGGCACTTTTAAAAACACCATTTTCTGAAACATGATGGAGAGTCATGACAACGATCTAACTGACAGTTCCACGCCTCCACGTCTGCTCTACAAATAGCCTGCACTTGTTGTCTGCTCTTTAGGGAATCATCTGTAGCTAGTAAGTATGTACTAGCACAATTGCATCCTGTCTGCATGTTAGTTTAGTAGCTACATGATTAGAAGTTTCTCCCAGAGTTGTGGATTTTTTTTTCTTGACTTTTGAGATCAGAGGCTTGTGTTCTGTATTTTCAAGTGTGTTTCTTAGTTAGTGGTGTTTGCTAAGGCAAGCATCACTATTATTATTGCTCATACCATTATTCACTATTATTGAAGTGATTACTCTATGCAGTCTGAATTACAAAGTTTTCTCGGTGGACAATATAATAGGCAAAAAACCCATAGACTTGATTGAAGTAGAAAAACCCAGTGCTACAGTTCAGTAAATGGATCAAAAGTGATAATAATGACAATTAAAAAAAAAACTAAAGATTTCAAGATACATTGTTCTTCTGATACAAGTTCTTCTGAACTTTCTATTCATCAAAGAATCCTAAAATACATTATCACCGTTTCCACAAAAATATTAAGCAGTGAAACCTTATTCAACATTGACAGTAATGAGAAATGAGCAGCAAATCAGCATATAAGAATGATTTCTGAAGAATTATGTGACACTGAATACTGGAGTAATGATGCTGAAAATTCAGCTTTGCATCACAGGAATAAATTACATTTTAAAATACATTAAACTAGAAAATAGATTTTAAATTATAATAATATTTCACAATATTATTATATATGATTTATTGTATTTTGATCAAATAAGCATAAGCATTAAGCAACTACCCAGAACATCTTAGCAACTGCCTAGCAATGCTTTAAAAACCATCCGGACACCTCTGAACCACCCTAGCATCTAAATGATAATGCACTTTATGAACTTTATTTTTCATTAAGGCACTTTGGAAGGAAAGCATTTGCTAAGAACTTAAATGAAATGCAACTTGTCTGATTTGCTTCTCTTATAAGAAGCCTTTTGAAAAGTGCCATTTGTATGAGCAGCACAAAAAAAGCCAGTAGCATAAAATCAGTCAGATCGTATTCTGAAAGGCATTCACTAAACATCTGACTTCAGCATGATAAAGAAGGTTGTCTCATTGAAATGATACAATCTGTAGATTTAAAAAAAAAAAAGATCAAAAGCTTATTTTTTTTACAACATTTTTTTCTTTCATGGGACTACAGTATTGAACTGAATTTACATACTGCTGTTTTTAATATATTTTAGTTTGCATTATTTATAGGTTCTATTTTGGTTACAGGGCAAGATACACTTGGAAGACATGGAGAAAGTGGGTGTACAACAGTTCTGTTCTGAACATTATTAAATTAGCATTTTCTTCTTTCCATGTGCTTTCTCTCAGGGCTATCTTCCAGCCAATAGAGAACGAAGGGATCTGGTTCTCCAGAGGAAGAGGGAGGAGTATTTTGGCTTCATCGAACAGTATTACCACTCCAGAACAGATGAGAATCACAGAGACACATACAGACAGGTAAATTCCAGCCTGCTTCTGAGTATGTTCTCAAAAAAGGGGAAGAGTTGGCTAAAATTGACCACTTCCTTTCTGAACCTGATTCTGATTCTACACAATTTCCAGGAGTAAGAGAGCACCTTTATCAGTCCACAAATGTGACCCTGGACCACAAAACCAGTCATAAGGGTAAATTTTTCGAAACTGAGCAAATATTTAACTGTTTCATTACAGTTCAAAGTGTTCAATTATGTAAATGTTTTGTTTTGAGATCTTAATGTTAGGTAAGGATGTTTTAGGAAATGTTTTGCTGAAACACTTTGGAGTTTATTGTGTACATTATTATATCTAGGGTCGATGTACCATATCATGGTGTCCATTATTACAGACAGCGTGTAAACAGAAAAAGCATTGTCTGTTTTAATGGACAGCATGTCACGCATGCCATCCATAGACATTATGTTGAAAGCAACCCAGAATATTTGTTTAAATCCAGGTTGAGTTAGTTGGAAAACATCATAATGTTGTCTGTAATGGCAGGAATCCAGATAACGCATGGGGGAATTTCAGTGGAAAAGGATCTCATAAGATCGTTTGCAAGATTAGAGATATTATTTTTTTAAATTCCAAATATTATTTGTTGAATATCTGTCCATTTTGCTGTTAAAGGGCTGCATTTAGTGTTCATACATCCCTCAAAACACATCTAATTTGAGTTTTGTGAACATGACAGTAAACATGCTTAATTTGACAGGGCTTCTTTAAGACAGACTGATTGATTTGGGAAAAACCCTGAAAAAAACTTCAATTTGGGGTCGGTAAAATTCTTATGCTCACCAAGGCTACATTTAATTGATCAAAAACACTGTGATATATAACTCTTTTCTATATGAATATATTTTAAAATGTAATTTATTCCTGTGGTGCAGTGCTGAATTTTCAGCAGACATTACTACAATCTTCAGTGTTACATGATCCTTCAGAAATCTTTCTAATATGCTGATTTGCTGCTCAAGAAATATTTCTTATTATCAATGTTGAAAACAGTTGTGCTGCTTAATATTTTTGTGGTACTTTTTTGATTCTTTGAATAGTAGAAAGTGCAAAAGAACAGCATTTATTTGAATTAGAAATCTTTTGTAACATTATAAATGTCACTTTTGTTCAATTTAATGCATCCATGCTATATAAAAGTATTCATTTCATTACAGAAGAAAAAATCTTTTAAACCGTAGTTGAGATTATGACATATCTACTGCTAATTACTTCTGATTTGGGATTTAGCAGACACTTCAACCCATTAAGAACAATCCCTCTGGAGCAACCTGAGGTTAAGTGTTTTACTCAGAGGAGCAATGGTTAAAATTCACAAATCAATCCTTGTGGAGTTTGAACCGACAACCTTTAGCCCAGGGGCCTTGTGTATAACACTTGCATAGATTTCATCCTAGAGGATGATTCTTTCATGAATGGAACTAATCCGATTCTGTAGTTCAAGTGAGTCAGTGATACATTTGCAGAGATTATCAGTGAATACCGTTGTAAATTTCAGTCTGCTCCTCACACTAACCTCATCGTATGACCTCAGAAGACTCGTAGTGCTTAAGACTTTTGCATCTTTTCTTTGAAACTTTTTTTTTAAAGGATGATTTTTTTGGGTGAACCATCTTTTTAACCACTAGGCTACACCAGACGCCAATCCATTGAGGAACCTCATCATCTCTGCAGTGAGTCAGTCAAGGTTACACCTGCTTCTAGAAAGCTATAGTAATACACCCAGATTTTGTCCTGCGTGTTATTAATGTGGGGACGAAGGGGGCCGGGATCAATATTCTTATGGGCTGTAAAACTCCGGTTAATGGTGCAGGACTGGTAGTCGATTGCTATGCGCTGCCTGCTCTCCTCTCTTGTCCGGTTCCTCAGGGCTTGCTGGCTCCCAGCCCCTCATTTCGTCTACTGCAATACAAATCGGACACAGACCTTTAAAAGGATTTATATGGTCGTACAGAACCGTTGGACTGGCCCCTGGCTGTCTGGGCAGAAACACTAAATGACCTTTTAGTGTGGTCACAATTGTGACAGTAGTTTACAAGACAAACAAATTTTGTCACAAATTATCACTACCATTATGCATTCATTTTTCCTTTTGAAATTAATTTGGGTTTTTTCCCAGTTGTGATTGAGGAAATATAATTTAAAATATAAAATATAATTTGTCTTTTAACTTTGGGATGAAATATGATCAAGACATATTCTTGAAATATTTCATGAGATTCATTTAAGAAAAGAGCTTTACTATTCATCGTTTTTGCTTTTAGAGACAAGCCCATTTTACCCCAAAAATCATTATCATTATGCAACAGAGATGTTTTGAGTTTCCATTTTCATTTTTCTCAGTGGTGATTGTAAATAGATTCTAATTACTGTAATATGGTGTGTTTTTTTTATTAAACGAGCATAAATGACTATACACAATTACTGTAATGCAGTAAAAGTTCATTGTTGCAGTGCATTTAAACAATGACGTTGAAACACATTTTTCTTCCAGTTCTCATGTAAATGATTTGATGCAAAACATAATTTGTCTTTCTTTTGTTTTGGGGTGAAGTATGACCAGGAAATATTCTTGAAAGTTTTCATGAGATTCACTCAAGAAAGAGCTTACTATTCCTTATCAGTGTTTATTTTTACATATTTTTGTTTATATTCATAGTTTTTTTTGTTTTTTTTTGTTACAGTTTTTGTCTTATATAGTATTTTATTTCATTTTACCTATTAAAATAATAATTTTAGGTAACAAAACTAACATTTTATTGTATTCAAATATTTGCACACATAAATGTATTAACATTTTATTTTTTATTTTATTTTATAAATCAACCTATTGAAGCAGTTTAGTTTACCATTGTTCAGTTCTTTCAGCTAAAATGTTTTTTTTTCCCTCATCATATTTGTCAACAGCATGTTTTAATTAAAATGTAATTATTGTCCTGATCATTTTTGTTTTATTGTCTTTTTGTCTCATTTTTGTCTTTTTGTTCTGTTGATAAAAAAGGCAATCGAAACCTTTCACCACTGAAAAATGTTGTCTGTAATTTTGCTGATGATGTTCTGGATAGATGTTGCCAGCATGCTTTGGTTTAACTGAGCTTTGTGTCATTGGATGCTTACCAGCAGGGGGTGCTGTGGTGTTTTTAACTTCTAGAGAAGTGTGCAACACTTGTAAACCAGAAACCAAAAGGAACACAGCACTTGAAATGCAGCTGCATTTGGAAATACAAGTATCCGAATAAGTGGACATGTTGGTCTGTCAAGAGTGAATTAGGCAACATCAATTGCCAAAGGTTTGCACAACAATCACACTTGTTATGAGAAATGAATCATTAAGAGGTATTGTCTTGTTTTTCAGGTGTTCGAGCGGATTCTGTTCATCTGGGCCATCCGTCACCCCGCTAGTGGATACGTGCAGGGCATTAATGATCTGGTCACTCCCTTTTTTGTGGTCTTCCTCTCTGAATTCGTGGGTAAGTGTGTAATAACCTTCCACTTGGATCAGTTGGTCCGTTTGACCGATTTTTCACCTTTCTGAATGTGTTCTTTTGGTTGAGCACATCAGTTGTGTTTGCTCCGCTAATAGCGCATTGACGTGTGTGATAGGTCAGCAGAGTCCGAGAGATGCAGACGGGCAGGTATCTGACAGATGATGTTGGAAAATGGTTGTGTAAATGTAAACAAACTGACAATATCCTGTGAAAATGCCAGACACAAAAATACAGAATATCAATTAGCTTTGAAAGAAACTCTGAAAGATAGACAGTGAGAGACAGAGAAAGAGACAAATGGTGAAAGAGGGAGACAGATGGAAAGAGTGACAGACAGAAACAAAGGGAGATGGGAAGAAGACGGGCAGACGGTCAGAGAGAGAGACAGATAGTGTGATGGACAGAAGGGTAGATGGAAGAGACAGATGGGGAGAGAGGGAGACAGAGATTGTTACATCCATTTGTCTATCATTCTATTTATCGTTCTGTCTATCTATCTATCTATCTATCATTCTTTCTACCCTTATATCTATCGTTCATTATATATTGTTTTTGTGGTCCATCCATCCATCCATCCATCCATCTATCCATCTATCCATCTATCTATCTATCTATCTACCTACCTACCTACCTACCTACCGATTGTTCTATCTATCGATTGTTCTGTCTATCTATCGTTCTGTCATTCTTTGTCTAAGTCTACAAACCATCATCTATCGATCTATCTATCTGTCTATCTGTCTGTCTGTCTGTCTGTCTCGTTATATTGTTCTTTCTGTATCGTTATATTGTTCTCTATCTATATCTATCTGTGTGTCTGTCTGTTGTTATATTGTTCTCTCTATCTTTCTCATATCATTCTCTCTATAATTACATCTATCTTTCTATCATTCTCTTTATCTTTCTATCATTCTTTCTGTCTATCGTTTTAGCACTGTTAATCTTTTTGTTCTTTATATTGTTCTATCTATCGTGCTGTGTGCTCTATCAATTGTTCTGTCACTTGTTCTGTCCATCTATCTGTCTGTCTATCAATAGATGGCTGGTTGGATAGAGGGAGAGATGAAGACAGAAAAAGAGAGACAGACAGGGAGGGAAATAAACTCTCCAGCTCTCGTCCTCATTGCTATTCTCCCTCCACCCGGCAGACTTCCCCTCCCTTCCTTATTTATTTCCTGTCCTCTCATGTGAAGGTTAATTACTTATGGATAGTTAAGGATTACAGAAGAACAATAGGAGGCTCATTGATCTCTCCGGTGTGCCGCTGCTGCAATGTCACCAGTGCAAACACCGGGACATACCCACAGATTACCTGGATCACCAATCGATTTCTCTTTTTCTCCCGTGTCTGTCTCTCTCTCTCTCTCTGACTGTCGCCCAGCGCTCTCTCTGTCTTTTCCTCATCCCTCTGTTTCTCCACAAAGCTCATTTAGTGAAAAGCAGATTTTTCATACCAGCGCCTTCGTGTCAATCTGCAGGGCCTTTCTATCTCTAATTTGTTTGCTGGCTGTGAATATATGTGTGTGCGTTTGGGATTCACCGCGTGTGTGAGCGAGCGACTCAATGCCGCAGGTTGAATGAGCCGCATTGATCGGCTGGATTTAAGTGTTTACAGAGGCTTTTTGAGGGGGGGGGGG